AGTTGTGATTATGATATGTGTAAAATATATGGAATATAGTTGTTGAATTTGACATTTGGAATCGTGAAACATTTATGCATCGATTGGGAAAGAAAAAGGGTAAAAGTATATTTTCTTAAAACACAATGAAATTGTTTTAGGAAATTTTTTTTTGAAAAGTGTTTGTGAAAACCCGGACCCCTTGGAGGCGCCTAGTGGTCTATGGTGTTAGTGTGGTCTAGAGAGGGGACTAGGCAGAGACCCTAGTGTGATTGAGCTAACCAGGCCGGATGCGACACATTGGAGGTGCCTTGTGGTCATGGATGGTTAGATAATCCCCTTTTCGTGACGCCTTGGACCTTGGGTCAGATTACACTAACGGTTTGGAAGTTGAAACGGTATGATTTCGGAAACGGGTGACACATCATTGGCATACATGGTGCATTTGGTAATTTGTTGAGATATGTATGCTTGTTGATGATACAATGGTTTTACTTAACTCCCGAGATATGATCCCGTTCTCTTGCTTTCTATTCTCTATGTGGATTTACGTGTCATAAGAGGTGTGTCTTAGACACTTCTTACTGAGCGTTTAGCTCACCCCATCATTTTAACATTTTTCAAGTCACGGGAAGGAAGTGGCGGACAACGTTTCTCCACAGGTTTTGATGGGTTGGTGGACCGTTTGACATATTTTATAGCTATGATCTCATTTTATTATTATTATTATTATTTATAAATCCTGGGATGACACGTAAATTATGTATTGAAATAAGAAATGACGGTAACGTTTTTAGTTAATCTCGGGTTCAGGTAAGGGCCCGATTAGCGATTCGGACCATCGGATTTTGGTCGTTACATGTTGCCACTTAAACTAGAGCTGTTCCCATTTGCTCTCTTCCACCTAACAGTTTGTTCATGTTTACGTAATTGATTCAACCTCTAGAGTACCATCCTTCCAACGGTTATTTTTATTTAGCAGTAAAAATGTTGTCCTTTAGAATCAAATGTAGACAGGATCAAAACAACTGACAAAAAGAGAACAATGATCTGACCGGACAATTTATCGATCCAACTTTCTGCTCTAAACCAGCAGATGTAATCACATTCCTACGAACGTTTCTTGTAGTATGTCATCATCCATCTTCCTTTGTTCTCTTATATCGTCAATGAAGAAAATTACATTCAAAAATTGAATCATGCAAAAATATCTAACTTTTACCATTGAAATATGTATAAATAAAAACAATGTAGTTACACCTTCACAAGTTAAATACAAAAGGAATAATTAATTTGCTCATCCGAAATCTATCTGATTTCTGCTGAGCATTCATTGAAGCTTCCCTATTGATCCTCCACTTTCCATCTTCAACATTTGAAGCAAAAATTCATTCCACGTGTCGACGGGCCCGGCATGCACCAGTGGACACAGTCAGGTATAGTCTTATTCTCTTGTGGCGAATGCCCATAATGACTCGGATGTCCATCTGGCCTTAGCACCATTGCTTCACTAGTATCTAGCGTCCTGAATCTGAGGCCCCTCTTTTTTCCTTCCTTTTCTGCTGCTCTTAGCTCCTCCACCTGCGTCTTGTACAACTCCAAACTGTACCCATCGAACTTCATTTCTTGCTTCGTAAACGGCCTCGTTCTCACACAATTCCCTCCTTTATTCCAGTCCCCATTCTCAAAGTGTGACGGTGAGAATGTCCTTAGAAATGTCAGTCCCGTGAAGTTCTGAAGGTTTAGAAGCGCCCTAAAGGCTGTACGGAAAGCCATTTTATATCCGTAGTAAAATGTAAGGTCCGTCACATTCTCTTTCTGGCACTAGTGACATCCCACAACTTTACCATTCTCATAGTACATGAATGGTCGAAAGAACCATTGCCCGGCAGAGATGATCACTAAATCGGCCTTCTCAACCTGAGTTGTCCACGCCTCATCAGCCTCATCTAAGTAGAGGCTCATGAGGCTGTCTTGGGAAAAACCGTTAGGGTCGGCTTCACGGGATTTGACCAGGAGTGGAGACCAGAGTGCTGCTATGGTAAAATTGTGATCGGCGTAGAGCCAGCGTCTGAATCTTGTGTCTGATACATAAGAAACATCTATGGGAGTGGCTGACTGAAAAATTACATATAGTTGAGTTCAGTTTTTTTGATAAGAGTGACTATATGTTTGAAAGTAAAACAACTTAGAAAACTAGGTTCTGTTCCATGAAATCATGTGCATCTACCATTAAAACATTGATTACTAATGCAGTAACAGATCTTTTCCAAAATGTTAGAGAATTTTTTTGTTTTATTTTTCCTTGTATATGGGTAGTTTAGTCTTTTCCTTGTATATGACATGACATATGTACATGAGATGATGTGCTAGAACTTCAGTTTTGTTTTTATTTTATTCTATTTTATAAAGAGTGGTTAGAAGAGACGAGCTGTTATGAAGAATCAAATTATTTTTTAATACAACAAAATTATACATCATACTGATGTTAGGAGGAGACAAAGGTCAAGATTGTAAGGAGACATGACCTAACCAATCTTCTAATAAAAGATTTAATTAGAATATTTATTTAAGACTATCCAGAACCAACTTGAGATGAAGTATTAGAAATTTATAAAAAAAAAATTAAATATCAGGGCTGATAAATTGTAAGAGAATAAAATGAAAAAACAAATTTTAGTTGACTGATCTCATGCATAGGGATAAAAGGGTAATGATGATGATGACGACTTAAACTATTAACAGAAATATAAAGATAAAATAATATATATATTTTTTCACTGTAGGATATGGTATAAAGATTTTAAATACCTGTGTCACATGCATACAAAAAACTTATGAATAAAGCAAATGAATACATTATACATGCTATGATGAGTTTATTGAGCACTTACACTGGCCAAGAGACACACTAATGATTGCATTTGGTTCCTTCCTACTGAGTCTCCCAGAAATGCCAGAGTCTTTCCTCTAACCAGCTCCAAGAACTGCACTCCATCAAGCATAGGTAGATCACATTCATCTGGTTGCCACCTCCATTTCAAGAACTAGGTGTCCGGCCTCCCGAACTTCTGACAATTCTGTCGATCATCGATGGAACACTGTGTCTCATTCGTGTAGTAAGGTAATCCCTCCGGATATGGCACCCAATTCCCGCTAAATATGTTGCATTTGTGCTCTAAGCTTATACTCTTCGAATCGTTGGAAGCTTCCCCAGGAGACTGCAATGGCAAGAACGTGTTGCTCTCCTGATAGAAAGGAATTGTACCATTGTCACGAACCTCTAGAGAATTGTTGGAAGGTTCCCCGGGAGACTGCAATGGCGAGAACGCGTTGCTCTCCTGATAGAAAGGGCTTGTACCATTGTCACGAACCTCTAGAGACAGTAACGACGAATATGAGTTTTTATGCAGATAGGTGGGGATTGAGGTGATGAGAATCAAGGTTATGATTGGTATGACACAATTTTTGATGCTGTTAAGGGGTGTGTTCTTCCCACTGGGAAACTCTGTAGCACTATGCTTCATTTGAGAAGTTGAGAATAATAAGAATGGAGCAACTTCACTTTGGGATAGCATACATATCTATATATATATATATTTATAGATATAGATATAGATTTATAGATTCAGAATGGTATTGTGCAAGGTATAGTGGTGAAGTATGTTGTGCAATGTACGGTGGTGAAGAATACAACTCAAAGTCGTATCATTGCATTTTAGATGTCTATTTTTATGGTTAATTCGAGTGTAGCTGGCTAACATAATAGTTATTATGATATATCATTAAGGACAAACGTGGAAAATATAATAATAGCTCTCATCTTTTCCTTATCAACTATTTTTTAAAGGTATTTGTTATTGAAAGTTGATCAATATTTTAAGGATATTGGCTGGATAAATATACCAAATTATCTGTCTACAATGATTTGCACATGATACTAAAAAGTTTTATTGCCTCATAAAATTTAAGTTCTGGTTGAAATTTATTGAAGTTATACAATAAGTGTAAGAGACTCTGGTCTATTCAAACCATTTCTAAGTCTATCTTTGTTAGTTGTTTATGAGTTTTTAGGAGAAGCTTTGCTATTATTAATAATTAATTAATCTCTTCAACAAACATAGATGTGTGTGTGTGTATATATATATATATATATAGACTATTGTCGGTATAAGAAACTTTGCTATCATTTATTAATTAATCTTGTTAGCATCCATATTGTCGGTATAAGAAGCTTTGCTATCATTTATTAATTAATTTTGTTAGCAACCATATTGTCGGTATAAGAAGCTTTGCTATCATTTATTAATGAATCTTTTTAGCAACCACATATATATATATATATATATATGATATATGAAAAAGCATTGCATACGTCAATTTTAATGTGATAGGTTATCCTATTGACTCTTGATGTGATCCGATCATAAATGCATATAGTTTTTAATTACAAAATTAAAAAAAGTGATAAATAAGGAAATCATATTAACTCTTGATATGGTCCAATCATAAATGCTTATAGTCTCTGATTGCAAAATTAGAAAAATGATAAATAAGGAAATCAGAGAGGACTGACTAATTTATTTCAAAAAAAGAAGTTATTATTCTTATTTATCACTTTTTTTTTATTTTGTAATTACAGACGGTACATTTGTGATTCTATTTTTCTATTTTTTAAGTATTGTTATTTCTAAGAAAAACTTTGCTTTCATTATTGACTAATCCTTTTTAACAACCATACATGTATATGTATAAGTAAAGTATTGTCGGTGTCCAATTGGGCTATAATGGTGACAATCTTACACAACTCATATTTGTAAAAAATTTGATAGAATATGGCAGTTTTATGCACCAAGTATACTTTTGAATGCGTGGGATAAAAGCTTCTTTCCAAACTAGGCATTACATATACTCTTTAACAAATGAACCAAAAAATGTATTCAAATTCATGTGAAACACGTCTTTTGGCTAATGACAAAATGATCTGCTGAGATGTCCACTTCATAAGTTGTAATGAAGACCCCATTTCCCAATTGAAAACCAGAGGCAGAAAAGGTTTCACCTCTTAATTATGTTGGTAGGGTTTCTATTTGGGGTTCGAATTCTATGTAGTACAACACGTGTGTGATGTACCGTGTTATACTGCAGTGGACGGTCATGATCGTTCACACGTGTGAATGATTTGACCGTCCGAGCTGTAACAATAGAGAATCTCAACTCTTGTATCTGATCATTGGTCAACATTTTATATGCAATTGATGACTATTGTGTGCATTAATCATATTGCGCCACCTCATGTCTTTATCCGCACAACGCGTCGTAAGCATAGAGTGATTGGTGGTTACAGTGCTAAGTACCCTGGCGAAGCTTGGTGGCAAAGTAGCTGATGATTGCTAGGCTTTGCCAACTCTTTTATAAATTCCACTTTTGGGGCAGTGCATGGGGGGTTTTCATGTGGGAAATAAAGGGCTAGGGCTTATTTGCAGTGTGAGACTATTTTTCATCATTGCCCAATGAAGCTATAGCATGCCATGTTATAGCTGAATTGACCCATTGGTGATGAACTTTCTAAATCCTTTCTTGTTAAGAAATGTCACATGGTTGATAATATGTACTCCCACACTTCAATGGAATTTGAGTGAGAGAAAAGCTTCAAATTGTTCAATCAAGTTATTTTTGGTATGCTTGGTTTATTGAAGGAAGGAGCAAGGTAATTGAACCCTAATCTTTCAAAATCTTAGTTGTGTATCAATTTATATTTATGCTTATAGATATTTGAGTTGTTTGATTCTAATTATCTATCATATTATAAGTTTGTTCATTACCATTTTTTATTTTATTTCTGGGGGTAATGTTGGAATGGTTATCGGGTAAAAGTAGAGTGGAGACGTAATCCCTTCAAGAATTGGGATCAAAATCTTCTCCAGTGAGCTTTTTTTCATGGTTTCACTCAGTGGGTGAAATTCATAACTATCAAAAGAAACTTTTGTTACTGTAAAATGGACCTGTAAGTAGATAGCAACAAAATTTAAATTTCATTCATTTCACACCATTATAGTAACGAAAGTTATCAGTGATGGCGATGAACTTCACCCACCAAACAGAAATTCGAAAAAGGTTCATTGGAGACGATTTTGATTCCAAGAATTGAATACAAGACTTTGAATCATGCTCAAAGGATTTATATCAATCAACTATTTGGAAGGTTATTAGTTTCATACTTTTTGTGAATCAAGTTCTAAAGTTAGCTACCAAAACATGTAGGCAGCTAAATTGAGAGTGCAGTCTTAATATGGTGCAATGATATTTTTTCAATTCTGTGGGCAAGATGTCACCTCAGAAATTAGTTGATGAATGTCATTTCAAGAACATTATCATTACTTTGGCAAATAGACTTTTGTTCATATACTTCCCAATAGTCTTAGTTCTAATAAAAGTGTAGGTTAACATATCCATCATTTGTGTATGCAAGTATCTGATAATGTCATTCTCAGGATTTATTATTATTATTTTCTTAGAGAGGAGGTATCTTTAAATCTTTACAGGTGAGATTAATTCACTTCGAAGTACACACAACACCTCACAAATTACGTGCACCGGGCAGGACCGGACAAGTACAGAACTCAATCTGACTACAACTTAACCCGTATAGATACTTCCACAGAAACCGTTTATTCAGATACTCGAACTTGAGACATGATGCTTTATGAAGCATCATGACCCGAGTTCTCACCCGCTAGGCCAACCCTGCAGGATTCATTCTCCAATATACTATTTCAATAAAATTGCTATTACTTGCCGATTGACACCAATGAGCATATATAAATGATATCAAGGCAGTCATTATATTTCTTTTACGAAAGAATCACGCTATACTAATTGAAATCCTCACCTATTGCATGAACGGAAATGTTTTCTTCCTTTAGATGGTTTAACATAGGACCCACTTAGATCCGACGTTAAACTATCTAAAGTTGCAGTCATTTTGACTTCCAAAATAGGGTAGGGGTTTCGTTTTATCTTTCATTTTCCTTTACGAAAATAACAATGGAGGTGAGCCCAAAACTTCCAGAACAGAGTGATCTGTTTCCAGCCTGTATAATATGCTAAATGCATCTTATTAGAATGAAGCAAGAATATATAGAGTCATAGAATTTGATCTGAGATGGGCAGTTTTGGACTTGTCTGAATATATTGTCTGGAGCAGTTTCAATTTGTAGTTTGGAATGGAATAAAATGATCAAAGCTTCAAAAGTGACTAAATGTGGGCAATCAAGAAATTTTTCATGATTTTCATTCAAACTAGCATTTTGGTACAGCCTACCATCATACCATGTTACTTCTAAGCTTCCCTCTTCAGCATCCGAAGCAAAAATTCAACTCTAGTGTCAATGGGTCCTGCCAAGCACGCCTGAGCCTCCTAAAATTATGAGAGATTTTAGGCGAATTTTTAGATGCAAAATTTTTTATACATACATATATTTTTTTCCTGAATAAATATTTATTTCCTGAGATTTTACACGTGCCAAAAATTTATAAGAGTACAAAATTTTCATTAAAATGAGATGATAAACACAATATATTAATGTTGAAAACACACAAAACAAACCTGATCTTGAAAATCAAAATTCAACTTCATATTAAAATAAATGTGATCGTCTCCGCATTTTGAACTGCAAAATTATCAATTCATGTGTTCCAATTAAGTATTTCCAACATATCGTCGACGATAGATAAGATTTGATCAACTTTAACTTTGAAATCTCAATTGCATTTTTTGTTCCTCTTGGTATAGTTTCTGATAAGACTTATAACTCTGAAAATAATTATGTCATTTTGGTTATAGCTATAAATTTACATGATATATAAGTGTGTATTGCCTTTTAATTTTAGAAATTATGATCAAATATACATACTTCTATATTTACATTATGATCCTAAATTTGAGGTCATTTTAAATTTGGATGGTGCACATACATCACCTTTGTGAGGTGAAAATGAGGTTTTTGACATAAAATTTGACAAGCATCGCCTTTGTGTATGGTGCTCATACATCACCTTTGTGTGGTGAAAATGAGGTTTTTGACATAAAAATTGACAAGCATCACCTTTGTGTATGGTGCACATACATCACCTTTGTGTGGTGAAAATGAGGTTTTTGACATAAAAATTGACAAGCATCACCTTTGTGTATGGTGCACATACATCACCTTTGTGTGGTGAAAATGAGGTTTTTGACATAAAATTGACAAGCACTATTAAAAAGATGAAAGCTAGTCGAGAGAAGCATTATTGAAAAGAGTATACATTGAAACATGATAATTGAAAAAAAGAAAAGAAAAAGTTAATGGAAAAACCACAAGTTTTTCAATTAAATGATGATTCATGAAGAAATGAGAGAATGAAACTTCATAGTAATGAAAAGAAAAAAAAAAAGAAATGGTTTATGGAAAGACCACAAGTTTGTTCAATTAAATCATGATTCATGAAGAAAGGAGAGAATTCAATTATGATAGCAACAACTGTATTTTAAGTAACCTAGTAAAACATCATCACGAGACAAAATTGAAAAAAGACAAAAAGAAAAAGAAGACATCCATTATTTATATTTGAAATTATTACGAAGATTTAGGCATCTTTCCAAAAAAAAATATAATAATATGAATTAGCTGATATGATAATACCAACTTTCTCACGAAAATCTTTACACCAAAAAAAAAAAAAGAACCCTTGTTCTGAAAAATTATTAAGCAGAGCATAATAAAGAGTAAGACAAGCAAAATACCTGGTACATTATTTATCCGATTGCGACTGATTCTATTACACCGTAACCCAACTCCGAGTATTTTCGAATAGGTCCTAAGGCCTGATAGAGAGGTCTCCTCTCATTATTATCAAATCTGTATACAATCCATTAAACACAAGAAATTAGATGCAAGTTTTTATTCCTATTGTTAAACATTAAAAACATACATGTGCCAAAACATTTAGCTACATAGCCAACGCATTAAAGGGCCCAACTTTCTTGCACCTTGGCCCAAGCTATAGTCCACAAATATGATTTGGATCATTATTAGCTTGCGCCAGGTTAAAAATAGTTACTTTAACCAATGAGCCCGAGCTACAAATCTAACCAATTTTGGTTTAGATTTAAAAGTATATTAAAGGGTTTATCTTTTAGAAACATATTTTTATTTTTTCCCCTGTATTTTTGTCATTGCTTGTATGTAGGCCCAAGCAGAAGGTCTGGTCAGTGAAATCCATCTGAAGGAGATGGAGCTGGAAAGATTAAATGGGCTGTGCAAGAGGTTCGAAACCAACAATGCTGAGGGGAATGCTGCTAGGAACCGGTTCGGAAGAAGCAACTCTGAGAAGGGTTCGTTTTCCTCAGATTTCATCGTTGACCCTCGTCACAAACTTCCTTATCACATGGGTGGTCGAACTGAGAGCCAGCAGAGGCTCATGTTGCTCAGGTCGGCTTTTGTGCTCTACATTTTAGCTCTGCACATCTTAGTCTTCATGAAGCTTTCATTCTCATAGATCTTCCCGAATATAATTTTTATGTCAAAATTTCTAAAATTTTGTTGCTGTGCTCAACCAGATACCTATTTTTGTTGTATCTTACTCCAGGTTGTACAAAAACATGTCTTTTGTATATTTAATGAAATGTTATTTTTTCTATGGCTTTTCAATTCAAGTTCTTCTAATTGTGAGTGTTCGGCTCACGGAAAGAGGAATCGGCTTGGCTCTCCAGAATGCGTGGAATGGCGGAATGGAATGGTGTGGTGTGCGGGCATGAATGGTGTGGTGTGCGGGCATGCCGGGAACTGCAGTAGTTCCAAAGTAGAAATCCGAACAATAATCCAGTTAGAAATTTGTAGGGATCTGGCGATTGTACGAAAGTCTAGAATGACCACCTTCGAATGGTCTTTTTTGCCTTTAAACAAGGACTTCAAACTATTCTATGGCTAATGGAAATGAAGATGGTATTGAAGGTACAAAGCTGAAAATTAAAGTAATTTAAAGTGTAAGACTAGAAATTAGGATAATTGAAGTGCATGACTGGAAATTAGAGACATTGAAGTGCATAACTGGAAATTAAAGACATGGAAATGCAGTGCTGGGCTGGAAGTAACAAAAGAGTGCTGGACTTAACTCAAGCATTATAAGAGTTTATTGCATGGAGTGAATGCTATATAGAATAGCAAAGTGTTAGACTCAACTTAAAAGAATGTAAATTCATTGCTGGAATGAAAATACATGAACTAACAAAGTGCTAGGTTTAGACATAGTGTAAGCTCATTGTTGAAATGAGAGATACATGAAAGCAAAGATGCTTATGTTGATGTGTTGTTTGGGCTGGGCAGGCAGGATTTGTAAACTAGCCTTGAGTGTTCTATTTATAGAGCTCTTCCATGCATGCAGCAGCTTGATGTGGCAGCTTCAACAATTTCTACGTGGCCAAATCGCGGACTGCCACATGTCCCATGATCTTTCGGCAATCTCTAAATGTTGCCAAGTGTAAAACCATATTCTCCCATGATCTACAACTAATAAATAGTGGTCTTTGGCAGTTGAATGCATGTTTGTAGGCCTTCTCTCATGCTTTGGAATTGCCCAGATAGAAAGGTAGCAGTTCTAATAGTTGCAGCAGCAGTTGAGAAATTATATCTGGAAGGTCCAGATCATGCCACGTGTCCCACATTTTCTTCATCTTTCTTTGGTAAATGCATAATGTTTTCAGCCCACTTTACTGATTTTTAGCAACTTCCTCACTTAAATAAGGCAAGTGGCTGCCTTATTCTTGGAATGACTCCTACAAACTAGGGGATATTATAGGAGTGGGGGAGTTTCATTCTTGATGACTAGGTCAAAGGTACACATGGCTTTCCAGATGTTTGCCACGTATCCACTTGGAAAGTCCACGTCTTCCAATTGCAGATCTTGTACCAAATGGCTTCATATAATGAAGCCACATGTTGCTTCATGATTGCGCTTTTGCATATCACCTTTCCAATGGGATTGGCCACGACAACCTTTCTAGCTATAAAATATTTATGGTGTAAATATATGCCCCCTAAATTCCATGCCTTATGGAGTACTCGATCATAAGGCGTGGGATTTAAATTTTGAGTGAGGCTTTGGCATATAACAAAAACCTTCCATAGTGGCTGCCATTGTAGCTTTCATTGTTTTTCACAACTCATATTGCCTTTCAGAAAATAAAACTAACTACTAATAGGAAATGCATATAAAACAAGCAAGATGAGTAATTTCCAGTATGAATAGAAATTGGAACATGTATTGTAGTCCCTTTTCAATGAAACGTTCCATACTTAGGAAATTAGCCGATCTTGGAAATACAGCTAAGTTCATTTCATGGCTCTGGCCAATGCACTTATTTCCAAGTACTTATCCTTTCATCCCTTGAATGAATGATCCTTCACATGCTCGGACTTAACTATTAGAATGGCCATGTATGGCCATATGCTTCCTTTCCAGCTTTCCGATTTATTTGGAAAGGAAGCACCGGCCACTTTCACTGGCCGATTGAAGCACCGTGAATTTCCAATCTTAATTGATGGAAGCGCGATATTCCTTCTTCCAATTCGTTGTCCCCACTGGGATTTAGAGGTTTGTGAGGATGATGGATTTGTACATCTTCTGGCCAAATAAATAGTTGATTAATCATACTTTCCCCCCCCAAACACTACTAGAAGTGGGCTTAGGTCTCCTAGAAGGTTGTTGTTCCATCGAAGTTTTTTTGGAGTGGGTTGTCCTTCAAACACCATTGGAAAGGTAATAGGTGGCCTTGGTTGCAAATCGTTGAATGCTCATAAATAGAACCTCAAATTGAGGTCGTTGGACTATTGGTGGTGGAAGATACTGCACCTGAGGTGGAACCTGCACCTGTAGTGGAAGTGGTTGAACTTTTACTGGTTGAAGGTTCTGTATTTAGAGTTCCACTTGAAGTGGACCTGAACTGGTGGAATGGTTACTACTCTTCCACATTGGACAGTAAAGTGGCTGATATGTTCCAATGTGGATTGTTCACCTTTTCCATTGAATGTTGCGAATTCTGAAATTCTGGAATTGTTGGATACTCAACTTCATCAATGAACTTTGGATAGGGCTGTCTGTAAGCTAGTCTTCTACCCCTTCGAGTTAGGCCAATTCCTATTGGAAGAATTCTGCAAATTGGCCTCTATCAAGCGCCATTGGCTGTGGAGGGTTGTAATTTGGCCAACATTGAGGTTGATTGACCTCTTGATGCCCCCCACTTGCCATCGATAGTAGGTTGGCATCATAAAGGTTATTCCTCCAACGGTTCCTTCCCCTTGATCCAGGAGTGGCTCCCTTGGAAAAGGTTGGCCCCCAACCGCAATGGCCATATGTGGCCTTGGAAGAGTAGATGCGGTTGGCTGAATGTTCACTGATGGAATATTCTGTTGTGCTTGAGGGATGTGATACAGCCATGGTTGGCCAGGCTGATAATACAAAGCCTGTTGTGGAAACGCCACATGTGGAAAGTTCTGAACTTGCTGAATGGCTGGCATTGGCGCCGTTTGTAGAACAGTCACCTGTGCTACTGAAGTGGTCACAAGTGCAGTTGGAATGTAAGAAACTGCATCTGCTGCTGAATTGGAGGGAACGCCCTACATGTTGTTGAGAGGAAGTACCTTTAACAAATGTGGTCGGCCTGCTAGCTTGGAAGGTCGACTGTTGAGACCCTTCAGAGTTATTTGGCCGAGGGGCCAAACCTTGGTTCGAGCTTCCAAGGGTCCGTTCCAATATGGACTCAAACCTACGTGAGATTTGGTCCACCAATTTTGCTGGATTCCGCTCTTGAGAAAGAGTAATTTTAGATTGGTCTTGAGCAACTCTGGCCAAGTCTTGAGTGACTTTTGTTTGGTCTTGCGTAAACCTATCTTGCTGCATTGCCATCATGCGAATGTTGTCCATGATAAAACCATTTGCCATTATTTGGGCAAATTTCTCCACCATATCACTTTCATCAGGTGCAAATCGTGAACTTTCAACTAGAAGTTCATTGACTTGCAAATCTTCAATCTCGGTAGGGTCTTGGATAGACTGGCTTTGCTTTCTTCCAACGATCATTTGAACAATTTGTCTAGATGTCCCACCAGGCATGCCAAATATGTTCGGCTCGCGGAAAGAGG